GGTTTGTGCATTTCAGTGACAGATTTTCGGCGTGTCCAATTTTGATCCACATCAAAAATGGTTTTGAAAAGTTTTAATAAAAGTTGATTTTGTTCAAATTAATCTTTTTATGACTAAGACCATTTTTGGACCAAAAGTGGAAAATTTTCAGTACCATAACTTTCAATTTCATTGATTTCAAAACAGAGTCCTCCTGCTCTTGCACTACAATCGAGGTTGCTTTTTAGTACATTCGTAAAGAAAACTTGAAAATACTAATAAAGCAATAAAATTGAGGCATAGTTGAATCAAGTATCTCTGCGTCCCCTCCAAGAGATGGACGGAGCATCTGATGCCAAGCTAGGCCCAACCTGTGCCTCCTCATTGAGCCAATCCAAGCACTCATCGGACAAAGTGCAACTGAAAGTGGAAGCAGGGGCCAGGAGCTCTCTAGTCCTCCATGCTGTGGCATATCGGGCAAGCTGCGCACCCCGGACCGGGAAAGCAGCTGGGTACTCAATCCCCTCCGGTGGGCAGGTCTGATCATGACCAAACTGACGCAGGAACCGGAACGGAAAATAGAATACGCAGTGGGTTAGACCAATCAATTGGATCCCAATCAGCCGGGACATACTATAGCTCATTGCCGGGAGGTTGATCCAAGGGCAACGCCAAGCAATGCCGTCTGCGGACAAATTGCACATCCAATCGAACCACCACCTTTCGTCAAGAGCATTGACTAGGCGCTGCCGAAAGAAGTAGCCTCGAGCTGAATAGGCCGGGCAAGAGTCCACAACCTGCAACTTGTCCATTAACCATACCTAGGGGAGGATGGAAAATGAGAGAATAAAGAACAGAGAGATGTACGATGAGAGAAAAGTAAGACAAGGGTTTTGTGAGAAAAGCCGAGCCTGAGGGTCGAGTGATGTGAGCAAATATATATGTAAGGCCGGGTGGGAAACATTACCTGCAGCAGCAGTGGACTCCCAGCAATTTTTTTGGGCTAAAATTTACAAAAAAGACAAAATAGGTTAAAATAGCTAATAAGATAAAATATCACATCAAACCCATAATCATTTCACTTTTTCTCTCACAAACATTACATCAAACCACAAAAAAACTCAACTATCTTTCCAAACACAAAAAAAATTTTCTCCAATAATATCCTACAACTAAAAAAAACCTACAGAAAAACCACTTTCCAAACACCCACTAGTATTGTATGCACATCCAATGGGATAAGAAGTTACATGATGTGAATTTGATCATGATAGTTGCATGAGGTAAGAAGATACATGCTTTATTTTTATTTTTTTTGAGAAACAAGGTACATGTAGCTATGTGAAGGTATTTTGAGAAAACAAGATATTGTTTTGAGGATTGACTATTTTAGTTAGTTTTTTAATTTTTTACCAAAAAATATGTAAAAAAATAAAGAAAAAAATATACTTTTTTTTGTAATGATTTTTTCACTTATTTTAGCCACTTCCCAAAATAGACCTAAAAAATATGAAAATATTCATTAACTCATGCATAGACTTTATATAATAATATAGATAGATAATAGATATAATTAAATTATAATAGATAGATATGATTATAAAGTAATGCCATACAAACTATTAATTTTTTTTTAAAATTTCTTTTATTTTATTTTTAAAGTGAACTTGATCGACTTGTTTCAGATTCTAAAATTTTATAATTGAATGACACATAATTTATTGGTTAAAAAAAAAAAAAAATTATAAGATTTAGTGACATGTTTTGGTCTAGTAAAAGACATAACACGATTATTACAGAAAAATTAATGCGGAAAATTCATATCCAAGTCTTTTAAGCCTTTTTTGCTTGGAAAAATATCCTTGTGCAACAAAAAAATAAATAAATAAATAAATAAAATAAAAATTCCTTATCCAAAGTCAGCAAAATTTTAAAGCTCTACACATCAATACTTTTCCATGAATACAAATGACTCAGTCAGCTATTGGCCCGTGGGTGGCCGAGGAGACCAATACTAACTGGAAGTTCTAAAATGAAATAAATAAATAATAATGCTATGAATGAACAAAATTTTGATCACTAGACAAAAATAGTGGGATCAAGTTAATGAACACAAGTGGGGAACTCATATTTTTGTGTGAGGTAAGACTTAAAAAATGGAAGAGAAGAAATACAAACAAATTAAGCTCGTTCATGATGTGAATGTCTAAGTAGATGAGAAGGAAAATACTGATGAGTAATTCAAAGAAAGTGGCCATCTCATGAAGATCCTAGGACATATCTATTGAAGAATAAAAGCAAAGAAGACTTTTAGTACTTGCGAAAAGTACAAATATGATGTTTAATTTTCGTGGTGACAATGACCTGAAGTACTTTGTCAAGCCCATCCTGTACTTTTCGTCATGTGTTGAACCAGAAAGCTTGTCATTAGTGATTATTATATGAGGCAACGTAGAAACTTGCTTGACCAAAGTATGAAATCATTTCCTAACTTGAGAAAATTAAGACATTCTTAATGTGGCATTGTCAACAGGTTGTTAATAAAGACTAGACCTACTTCAATGATGTCATTGTTTATCATGAATACAATACTTTTCCATGAATACAAATGACTCAGTCAGCTATTGGCCCATGGGTGGCCGAGGAGACCAATACTAACTGGAAGTTCTAAAATGAAATAAATAAATAATAATGCTATGAATGAACAAAATTTTGATCACTAGACAAAAAAAGTGGGATCAAGTTAATAAACACGAGTGGGGAAATCATATTCTTGTGTGAGGTAAGACTTAAAAAATGAAAGAGAAGAAAATAAAAACAAATTAAGTTCGTTCATAGTGTGAATGTCCAAGTAGATGAGAAGGAAAATATTGACGAGTACTTCAAAGAAAAGTGGCCATCTCATGAAGGTCCTAGGATATATCTATCGAAGAATAAAAGCAGAGAAGACTTTTAGTGCTCGCAAAAAAAGTACATATATGATTAATTTTCATGGTGACAGTGACCTGAAGTACTTTGTCAAGCCCATCCTGTAACTTTCATCATGTGTTGAATCAGAAAGCTTGTCATTAGTGATTATCATATGAGGCAGGTAGAAACTTGCTTAACCAAAGTATGAAAATCATTTCCTAACTTGAGAAAATTAAGATATTCTTAATGTGGCATTGTCAACAGGTTGTTAATAAAGACTAGACCTACTTCAATGATGTCATTGTTTATTTTTCAAACACAGCCTACAGAGTTTTCTTGTTCTTCCTATATTGCTCCTGCAGCTTAGAATGATATATAAACCAAACCAAACCAAACCAAACCTTAAGTCCCATCAAATGGGATAGCCTAGAATGATATATACAACCGCAAAACTATCTCATTCCTAGAAAGCTAACTCTACCCATATATTTACCTAGGATGCTTCTGCAGCCTATGTTAGCATGGGTTTTGGGAGCAGCTGTTCTTGCTGCTGCTACTGTTGCTGCCGCCGCTGAAACCTCATCTGGTTGCCCAACTAGTTGTGGTGCCATTAACATCACGTACCCATTTGGCACAAAGAAAGGATGCTACATGGAAGAACATTTTCATGTTTTTTGTGACCACTCCTCCGACCCTCACAAGCTGTATTTAAATACAAGTGAGGGTAGCATAGAGATCACAGACATACTTCTTTCTGGTGAATTACACATATCATCCTCGATAGCTCTTGATTGCTACAACAAACAGGGTCTTCAGGTTACCAACAATCAAATCTCAGTCAGATCCGGCAAATTCCCCATCTCAGTCACCCGAAATAAGTTCATAGCCATAGGCTGTGACACCTACGGTGTTATTGAGGGTTTTGAGGGACGAAACTATAGCACGGGTTGCTTGTCACAATGCGACAGTATCGACAACGTGATCAACGGCTCTTGTTCTGGCATTGGCTGCTGTGAGAAAAGTATCCCAATGGAAGTGACAAGTTTCAAATTCAATGTCAGTAGCCATGACAACCATACTCGTGTTTGGGAGTTCAATCCGTGCAGTTATGCTTTTGTAGCGGAGGAAACTAATTATACCTTCTCTTCTATAGATCTTGCAAACTTACAAAATAGATCAATGGTTCCAGTGGTGCTTGATTGGGCAGTAGGGAACCAAAGATGTGATGAAGCCAAAAAAAATCTAACTAGTTTAGCTTGCAAGGCTAATAGCGACTGTTATGACTTTGACAATGGTCCTGGGTATCGCTGCAATTGCTCCCAGGGATATGAAGGGAACCCTTATTCTCCTAATGGTTGTACAGGTAACAACAACTATGTTGAAAGCTTTCAATTTCTTCTTAGCATTGATGCTATGATTTATATACTGTAGCTATCGAATTTGACATCAAAGATCAAACTTGGTGGTTCTTCGCTTCAGATATTGATGAATGCATTATTTCAAGCCCAAGTCCCTGCAACATCATATGCCACAATTTACCTGGTACATACAGTTGTTCTTGTCCAGAGGGCTATGAAGGTGATGGAAGAACAGATGGATTAGGTTGCAGTCCAATTCCAGATTCCAACAACATCCTTCCCTTGATTAAGATTGCACTGGGTAGGTACACCTACACCCACATGCTTTTAATTATATTATTGTCAGAAGATTAAATTTTCATCAATGTTCAACCCATCAATGCTTGTGATTTGGACTCTCATCTTTAGTTTGAAGTTTACAGTCCCCAATTATTGATGCAAAGATAAGAAGCACTTTGAACATGATATATCTCCAGTTGCATTGCATCTTCATTTCAGCAAACTAACGTTTAAGTAGAAAGCTGAACAACCAATTCTCTTATCTTATTTTTCCATTTTCATGTATTGGTTGTGTTTGGTAAGTCAAATAAGAATGGAATTACAAAAAAAGAAAAAAAAAAAATTTGTCATCCAAATGTGGCTGAAATTGCACCCAGAAAATGAAATGTATAAACTAGATTCATTCTAGGTGTTGTGCATTCCACACCAAATTTAAATCTATGATACACTTCATTCTTGGGGGTTAGTAGCTTTTTCGTTTCATCATAAACTAATTTGAAACTTGAATTCTCAATATTGACATCTCCATTCCAATCCCTACAGGCATAAGCATAAGCGTATCATTGCTACTTTTTGGTGGCTCCTGGCTATATTGGGGACATAGGCAAAGGAATATCATCAATCGCAGAGAGAAGTTCTTTCAGCAAAATGGTGGGATCATGTTACAACAACTTTCCATACGTGAAGGATCAGTACAGTCCGCTAAAATCTTTACTGCAGAGGACCTTAAGAAGGCAACAAACAACTACCATGAAAGTAGAATCCTGGGCCAAGGTGGCCAAGGAACAGTCTACAAGGGAGTATTACCAGATAACACCATAGTTGCCATTAAGAAGTCCAAAGTAGCAGAACAGAGCCAGTCCCAGATTGAGCAATTCATTAACGAAGTCATAATTCTCTCCCAAGTCAACCATAGGAATGCTGTGAAACTCCTAGGGTGTTGTTTGGAGACGCAAGTTCCTTTACTAGTCTATGAATTTATTACCAATGGGACTCTCTATGACCACATACACACTGTAGGTGGCACATCCTCAATAACATGGGAGAATCGTTTAAGGATAGCAACAGAAACTGCAGCGGCCCTTTCATATTTGCACTCTGCCGCTAGCACTCCTATCATTCATAGAGATGTTAAGTCCACTAACATACTATTAGACAACAATTACATTGCAAAAGTATCCGATTTTGGCTCTTCGAGGTTGATCCCCGTAGACCAAACTCAATTAACCACATTGGTTCAAGGTACACTTGGTTACTTGGACCCAGAGTGCTTCCAAACAAGCCAATTGACTGAAAGGAGTGATGTTTACAGCTTTGGGGTTGTCCTTGTGGAATTGCTCACCGGCAAGAAAGCAATTTCTTTTGACAGGCCTGAAGCAGATAGAAATTTAGCAATGTATTTTATTTCAGCAATGAAAGAAGATCGCTTGTTTGAAATTGTTGATGAACAGGTGATAAATGATGCAAAGGCTGACCAACTAGAGGAAGTTGCTATTTTAACAAAGAGATGCTTAAGAGTGAAAGGAGACGAAAGGCCAACCATGAAGGAAGTGGCAATGGAGCTAGAGGGATTGAGAATGATGGAGAAAAACTCATGGTTAAATGGCAAGAAAAATTTAGAAGAGACTCAGTATTTGCTTGGAGATCAACTTTCAGATGCTTATAGTGGTGGCACTAGTATGAGCAATTCAGCAGCTTGTGATGGCATAGCAAACCATGTCATGTCACCATTTCATAGTGGACGATAAGGTGATACTTATGATGGTCTATCTTCATTAGATGTTTTGTAATATTTTTATTTCGGCCAATTTGTCAAATAACCCTGTGAATTGTTTTGAATATTTGGTTATAATATGTTGAGGTTCAATTAGTTTGATTTTAGACTTTGAGCATCAAATGTTTGTCTTGAAGGGTAGTTATCGATGCAAATCCTGCCTTTATGTATCAGACAAACAATGAATAATAAAACTTTGCAGTTTGGAGCACATCTACACACTCTATAAATGAAGCAACATCAGTACCACTTTACCTTTTCATTTCATCGTCACAAACAAATGATTTTATCGTCATTTAAAAGTCCAGCTGACGCAGTATGGTTAGATAACAAGTTGATGGATCAATTTAACAGTTTGAATCAAATTTGATAATTTAGGAGAATTTCCAAATGTTGGATCAGCCGTGAAGGACCCATACTCGATATGAAACAACCTATTTCCAAAACTTTTACATCATTTACTTTTTTATCAATTTTAAATTACTTCAAGATCATTAAAGGCTTAATGAACTGGGATTAGGTCAGATGGGACAGAATCCTAACACTTTATTGGGATGTTAAATTCGAGTATTGCCACAGACAAGTACTTTTCATAAAAATTACTAATGGGCTTTGTTGGTCAAGTGGTACCAATTGGCCTTTCAATTTGTCAGGCCCTCAAATACTCATATTATCTTGATGATCCTAAAGTGGGTTCATCAAAGCAAGATGAACCCAAATTTTTCTACTTTTTCGATGCTTACTACAATTAACTTTCAAGTCTATAATTGATTAGATGTGAACAAAGTCTGAATTTGATGCTTACTACAGTTATCTTCAAGAAAACAATTTAAGCCCTTTCCATTATAATCTCACCCTGTTTTCCATGTATTCCACTTTTTTATCAAATCAACCAAAAATAAAAGAATATTTAAAGAACAGTAATTTAGTAGAATTTCTCAATGTAAGTCCTATTCTTTTCCTTTTGCAAATTTATTCTCACCATGTTTTTTTTCTAAATACAGCAGTTTCACATATAAACCAAAGTTGCCAATCTTGTACCGGACAAAGCATTGGTTTTTCCATTGGTAGGGTACTGTTTCGCGTTTATCACTACAATTGTTATCATTATAAATATAAAAGGAACAACTAAACCTTAACTTTGACAATTAACCCAATATTGAATTTCTGTTAATGAAATCCAAAAAAGTTCTTTACAGCTCCTATGTTTGTTTATACACTCATACAGGGTCGGTCCTAGGCATAGGCCCACCAAGTCATGGCTTAGGACCCCTCAAAATAGACCCAAAAAAAGGCCCCTCCTATTATAATTTTGTGTAATATATTAGATATGTGATTAAGTCGAAAAAAAATTAAAAAAAGACCCAAACTAACTTAAAATAAATTGACCCGTTAAATTATTAAAAGGCTCATTCCAAATTAAAAGAGCCCATTCTCTCTCCCTATCTAATTCCTAACCCTAACTCTGAATTCAATTTTCCTAAAAACTTGAGAGAAGTGGCACAACAAAGCACTAACGAATTTCTCAAGAATTCAAAGCAGCAACACAGCACAGGTAGGTCTTTTTTTCTATTCAATTAATTAAATATTTGTCTTACTTTTTGCTCAATTCCTATTATAATATTGGTATTTATACAAACCTGCATCATTAAGAAGAATTAATCTTTTGCTACCTGGACTATTATAACATTAGAACTTTAATAATTCACATCACATAGTTTAAAAGTTTTGTGTTTTGTTCAGTGGTGGTGGTGTAATATAATGCTAAAATCTTTTATCCTTGCGGCACGTGCGAGAAGCCCCACCGCACGTGCGGTTCTGGGCAAAAACCTGCTGTTCAAAAAAACTTGCGGCAACTTTGACACAAATCTTTTATCCTTTACCTTCAAAAAATAAATAAATATGTGAAAGGCACCAAATGATCTAGTGATATTTGTTAGTTGATTATCTGTTTTGAGCTCCGGAAATCTCAGGCCGGGCCTGAACTCATAAGCTCAGCCAAGATAAAAGAAAACGTAAAGCAAAGCAAACAAATATTTATAACAATCTTTGTTTGTGGCATTTGATCGAGCACCTAACAGACACAAAAGAAGGTATATATGCATTGTTCCACTTAGCATACATAGAGAAGCCAATGAATTCCAAGAAAAGAAAATCAAAACAGAGTCAAAGATACAAAAAGGGCAATAATCATACAGACACTAAAAAACCAAGCTCAGAATATTCGTAAAAGAAAAGATACCTCGTGAGGCTTCTCAATGTCTCAAACCGAGAGAGAGAGAGAGTATTTTCTGGGAATAACGAAATTTGCTTCCCCCCCCCCCCAAAAAAATATATATATATATATTATACTAAAAAAAATAATATAATTTTAATTTTTTTAGTCATAATTAAAAAAATATATCATGACTAAACACAATATGAAACATAAATAAAAAATTCATGAGTAATAATTAAAATAATATCATAATTAAACAAAAAAAAATGGTCATAACTAAAAAACAAAATGACATAATTAAAAATGTATACGATACACCATTTTTAAAGGGATGTATATTAGAATTTCCCCATAATTTATTTTGAATATGTTTGTGTAGTAGAAGAAATTAAATTGATGATAGGTGGGGTCCATGAGTAAAATGAATTTAAACTATTAATTAATTTTTTTGGATAAATTTTGGGTTCATACGTGTAGTAACTTTTTGGTTAAAATATAAACTGAAAAAAATTAATATATGAGATGAAAAAATTAAAATATTTTTTGATTTTTATGAAATTATTTTAGTAACTTTTTAGTTAAAATATGAGATGAAAAAATTAGTATATTTTAAATGATTTTTTGACATTTTATTTATAAAAAAAATGTGAAAAAAATAAAGAAGAAATAAAATCTTTGTTCTTTTCTATAATTGTTTACTTTTTTTTTTTTTTGACTTTTTTAATAACTATTAGACTAATTAATTATTATTCTAATTTTCCAAATTTGCCCTAAGTCTAGGAACCAGACTTATCAAACCAGATGAAGATTTTGTGTAATATGAGAGCTATACATAAGATAAATTTAAATCACAAGATGATAATTCGGATGGTTCTAAATGCACCTCAAAAATTAAGATAGACACCCAATTACTTTGAACACCCCAATCTACAATTCAAATTTTTATTTAATTTTTAAATACCCCAAATAATGCCAATTATACCCTTACAAACTTTAGAAATATATTAGAAACTTACTTTTTACACCCTAATATCCCGTCATCGCCAAACTCCCATCGTCGCCATTTGAAAACTTAGTGCCGAACAAATTAAATACATTAGGATACTTAATTCCAAAAATATTAAATTTCTTCGAACACTCAGTTCTGAACAAAATTAATATATATTAATTTCTCGATAATTTTTGAATTGATAAGTCTAAATTTGTAATATTGCTACAAATATTTCTGTTTTTGTTCGAATAGGGTAAGTTTTACCATTACTCAGTTATATGCAAGGGCGGAGGCACGTTGCGACCAGGAGGGTCACGTGCCCACTCCCTCAATTTTTGAAAATTGCACTTTTATCCCCATTTGAAAAATAATTAATTTTTAAAATTCAAAGTATATCATAATTTTTTATATCTCATCTTCTTTTCTTTTCTTTTTTTGACAAAATCTTTGCAAAACCAACGGGGTTAATTTATTAGTCAAAATTCTTGTATTTTTCATTATGAGATTAGAAGTTCAAATATTTCAATCTAGTTATTGATTGTATTTTCCTTGTCATTTATTTATGATTTCTCTCTCTTATTTTTGAAAATATTTATTTATATTAGTTATATGGTGTATTGATTTTCATTGTGATTATAATTCATTAGTTTCATTATAACATGATTTATTAATTAAAAATAAAATACAAATTCTTGTAATTTGTCACTCTAAATATTTAATTTTGCTAAAATATTTTCTTTTAAATTCTATATTATTTCTCTCTTTTCTCTCATGTCTTTTTTTTTCACTCTCTTTTTTCTTTGGGTGTATTTTGATGTAATTTTGTCATTCTCATTTTTAATAATAGTATGTGATCGCATTTTAAATTATAATGATCATCATGCTCACAAAACAAAAATAGCAAATCATATTAATAATAAATAAACAATCAAAAATAAAAAACATAGAGCAAAAACACTAACTAACTTGAGCTTAACTTTAAAATTTTAAATATGAAACTATGTTCATTTTTAGTTGTTTTACCCTCAATTAAGAATTAAAATTATTTGCATTGTAGTAGATCATTATGATCTTAACTCAATGTTGGCCATCCTAAATCGAAATCCTAACTCCGCCACTTATATGAATGTTTTTAATAATGGGTGTCAAAATTTCATTACAATATGTGATAAGCATGAGAAATGCTAACTCATGTTGTCATTAGAATTGTTATTGAGAATTGTCAAGGGTCTCATGACTCATATAATTTGGGCTACAAGACGGACACATCAATTCTTTTCCATCAAATTAACTAGTCAGACTATTGCAGCTGCAATCAAGCGACCATTGTGAATTGAATTTTTATATTTTATTTTTTAAAATAAGGAGGTAAATTACACTATTGGTCTTTATAATTTTCTCAAAATATTATTTTAATTTTTGTAATCTTAATTTTTAACAATTTAAAATAATTTCATTTTTGTTCTTTTGTGATCTGTTTGTCATTTGTTATTGCTATTTGACTAAAAAACCAACGCATGCAACTCACATATGTATTTTAGTAAACTCCTGCTCACAAAAAAATAAAAGATTATTTAGGGTTTTGAATAATATTTGTAACCCAAGCTTGCCTATAAACCCAGCCCCTAAGAATCCGCACGGATAAGTCTAGTATTTAGTTTGATTTTTTTTGTTCTTATGTTTAAAGTTTTTATTTTTCCGCTTTTCGTTTGCAGGTATTTGTTATTGTAAAAAGATTAAAAAAAATAAAAATATTTGAATTATGTTGGAAAGTAAACAAGTAAACTAACTAATGAAAATATTAAAAATATGTGAATGAAAAATGTGTAGAACTTAATAATATAAGTGTGATAAAAAAATGTGCAGCCCGATTCGGTTTGATTTTTTCTTGTAAGATTTGAGCTTATGAATGGGACGTGATTTTAGTTTTTTAAATAGACCTAGCCCATATCAATCCGTTGATTAGTCAAAACTCAAAAAATCCGTTAAAATATGAGATCTAAATATAATAATTGCGAGATGATAAGCCTGGCCTGTCCTATTAATGACCTACACGCATCACATGTATCAATTACTTCTAGTATATATTTATGAACATACACACAAGTAATTCAATTAAAATATATGAAGCATTATTTCAATGATTTTTAAAAACATGAAATTATTATTTAAGAAAAAAATGAAGAGCATTTTTGTAAAATATAAGTTATATAGTGTGTACCTTAAAAAAAAATTCACACCATGCATACCCTAATGTAACCACAACATTCTATAACAAACATCATAACAAATCATAATTTATTTTAATAATATTATCGACAAACTTTTTTTTATTTAAATTTATTTTTATCACTTTTTAAGACTAAAAATTACTAGTTAAACTTTATAATATTAATATTAGCAAGTGACTTGTGTAATGCACAAAATATAATATATATATATATATTGAAATAATGCTTCATATATTTTAATTGAATTACTTGTGTGTATGTTCATAAATATATACTAGAAGTAATTGGTACATGTGATGCGTGTAGGTCATCAATAGGACGGGCCAGGCTTATCATCTCGCAATTATTATATTTAGATCTCATATTTTAACGGATTTTTTGAGTTTTGACTAATCAACGGATTGATATGGGCTAGGTCTATTTAAAAAATTAAAATCACGTTCCACTCATAAGCTCAAATCTTACAAGAAAAAATCAAACCGAATCGGGCTGCACATTTTTTTATCACACTTATATTATTAAGTTCTACACATTTTTCATTCACATATTTTTAATATTTTCATTAGTTAGTTTACTTGTTTACTTTCCAACATAATTCAAATATTTTTATTTTTTTTAATCTTTTTACAATAACAAATACCTGCAAACGAAAAGCGGAAAAATAAAAACTTTAAACATAAGAACAAAAAAAATCAAACTAAATACTAGACTTATCCGTGCGGATTCTTAGGGGCTGGGTTTATAGGCAAGCTTGGGTTACAAATATTATTCAAAACCCTAAATAATCTTTTATTTTTTTGTGAGCAGGAGTTTACTAAAATACATATGTGAGTTGCATGCGTTGGTTTTTTAGTCAAATAGCAATAACAAATGACAAACAGATCATAAAAGAACAAAAATGAAATTATTTTAAATTGTTAAAAATTAAGATTACAAAAATTAAAATAATATTTTGAAAAAATTATAAAGACCAATAGTGTAATTTACCTCCTTATTTTAAAAAATAAAATATAAAAATTCAATTAACAATGGTCGCTTGATTGCAGCTGCAATAGTCTGACTAGTTAATTTGATGGAAAAGAATTGATGTGTCCGTCTTGTAGCCCAAATTAAATGAGTCATGAGGCCCTTGACAATTCTCAATAACAATTCTAATGACAACATGAGTTAGCATTTCTCATGCTTATCACATATTGTAATGAAATTTTGACACCCATTATTAAAAACATTCATATAAGTGGCGGAGTTAGGATTTCGATTTAGGAGGGGCAACATTGAGTTAAGATCATAATGATCTACTACAATGCAAATAATTTTAATTCTTAATTGAGGGTAAAACAACTAAAAATGAACATAGTTTCATATTTAAAATTTTAAAGTTAAGCTCAAGTTAGTTAGT